TAGAGAAAGAGATAAACAGAGAGAAACAGAAGAGAGAGAGAGAGAGAGAAAAAGAGAAAAAAAGTCAGCGAACAGGAAGCCAGAGCCTGGGATGAGAGGGAAGTCCATGTCGATGGCCGAGGGAGACGACAAAATTAAAGGTGGCAGTGCTGGCGGCAATCGCAGTGGTAGAGGCAGTTGCATGGAAAGTACCGGTAGCGGCAATGCAAGCTCAAGAACAATAAAACTTCCTTGGGGCGAAAAATGATGAAAATGCGTCGGCGGCCCGGAAAAGTGGCGGGTGGCGAAACTGAAACGCGGCCACGGGGACGGCGAGCCGACGACGACGAACCGACGACGACCGACGCCAACGAGATTCCTAGGGGAGGGAGAATGATAAATCTTTCGCCGCTGGGAGCGCTGTTGCCCGCCCCAGGAGAGGACGGGGGGGGTCTGCACGATTCCGGGGCTCACATTGCCAGTGGCAGTGGCAGTGGTAGAGAGAGAGCAGTAGTGGCAGTGGCCGTGGCCCCGGTTGTGATTGAGTCAGTGGTAGCGGCTCTGTAGAAGCACAACCACCGAGATGCACGTACCTACAATACTTTTCGTCGCCCAGCGATCTCGATCTGATACACGATGTGCGAATCGGAACAATGCAGGACAACTGTCGGTGGCAACTGGGCACATCGGTTAAAGAAATAGTGGACACTGCAACACTGCAAGCAACACACCGAATTGGGAGAATGCGATCGCTGAGTATGGGAAACTCAGAAACTATACCCCGTACTGGCAGGACCATCACACGGGACTCTGGTGATAAATAGGTTTGGGGGAAACGGGTGTAGCTTCTGGTTTGCGATTGGCGTCGGATCGGATTCGCGATCTACCTGTCTAACGATTCCGCGGTACAACCAGGGGCTGAAAACTGCCAAAAAACTTAATGTTGCGACTTTTTCGCGAAGAAGGAGGGTCTGGTTCTCCCTGCCCCCTCGCCCGCCAACGGCAAGCGCAGTTAGCCACGCCAGGCGAACTGACGAGGCGAATGGCAGGTCTCCACGCCTGGCTCTGTGGACTGGCTCGCCGCAACGCTGTCACCAGATCAATTACAGCTCCAGTGGGCGCAGGCGCGTGCGAGAAGCGCGCGCGAGAGGGTGCGCGGGCCCGTCCATGCGAGCCAATAACTGCACAAGCGCAAACTGTCGGAGGTTCGGCGCTGGTAGGGGGCCACATGCGACCCCTACCCCATATCCCCCACGATTTCTGAAGGGGGAGAGGTGGGGTTCACCTCGCTCGGGAGCTCCCGAACGAGGTGAACCCCACCCCCCCCCTCAGAAATCGTGGGGGGTATGGGGTAGGGTCCGCATGTGGCCCCCTAACAAGCGCACGCTGTCGGAATGATCGGCGCGCGGAGCGCGCCAGGGGACGTCGCCGGAGTCGCCGCCGGGGGAGACCAGCGCCAGGCCAGGAACTCCGCGCGGGCCTCCGACAGCTGGCCGGGAGGCTGGAGAAGCGCTCGGTTGTCGCGGCGCTGGCGCGACCGCTCGGCGCGGGAGGGCCGAGGTCGGCAAAGGAGCACACCCAGGAAGCCGGAGGCACAAATGGCCGCACTCGCGTGCGGGAGCATCACGCGGAGGCCACGTGGTGAACGTTCTCTTGTTCGGCATCCCGACATCGGGCGGAAAGGGGGAGGGAGGGGGGGGGATGGCTCCGGACCTCTGCTTAGTTCGGCTGTGTGCAACAGTGCGTCCTCTGGGGACTCCACCTGCTCGCAACAGGCGCCACAAGCAGCCAAGATCTACTCCACGGGGGGGGGGGGGGCGAGGGCCCGCGCCGATCGGCAAAACAAGCCCCCTAAGAAATCCGCATCCCCTCCCGTGGGCTTTGGGACGAAGCGGACAGAGCAAAGCACGGGCTGAGCAAGACAGCAGCTCCGCACAAACGGAACCAACACGGAGGAACCCAGCACGCTGGCAAAACAACGAACAAAGAAACGTGCACATGCTGGATGCACACGCGGAGGACCACCGTGCCCGGCCGGACGAGGGCCAGGAGCGCCCCAAGGACCGCGGCGCGGCGCCACACGTCACAGGCCGCCCGGCCCCCTCGCCCGGTGCGCCCACGGCCTGGGCCTGGGAGGACGGCTCGGTGGTCCTCCGCGCACGAGGGCGAGACCAAGACACGATCGTGTCGCAAAAGAATCAGGACGGGAGGTCTTTGAGGAACCTCAACCAGAACTCCTCAAAACTTTTTCCCGTCGGCGGCGAGGCAGACCCAGGCATGATGGCGTCGCAAGAAAATCCGGACGGGCGGTTTTTGGCCACTTTCGGCCTCGGGGGGCCCTCGCTGGGCCTCGGGCCCGTCAAAAAACGACTCAGGATCAAAAATAGGTCCTGGGGAAAGGTCGGGACTTCCAGGGACCCCGCATTCAAAAAATCAGGACGTCGCACATCTGGGGAAGTGCCGAGGGCTCTGTGCAAGGGGGACCACAGAGAGGACCCTGAAGAGGGCTCGCGGCCCTTAAGAGGGCCCCGAAGGTGCACGACAAGACAAGTCCTTCTTCCCCCCACCCACCCCCTGTTTACGTATTGCCCCCCCCCCATACAGCAACGCTCGAGGCGGAGGGTGCCCTTCTCGGGCGGGCAGCGTCGCCGCCATCGTCGACGTTGTCGCCGCAATCGTCGCAGGCGCTGCCGCCGCCGCCGTCGCCGTCGTCGTCCGCGCGACCCCGCCACACGTGGAAGGATAATATTGTTCTACTCAGCGCTATTTCTCTCTTGCGATCTCCAGCGCGAAACAATGGCGAAGCGTGCGATGCTGATCACATGGTGGGATGCGTATCAGATGGACTGAAACGCAAAGAGAAAACAAAATAATCCCTTGCGCAACGGCCTGCTAAAGCATTTCCTCCATTGCGGTGTCAAACGTATGTTTGTGTTGCGGCGGCCCTACATACGATCAAAGCTGTGTGTGGTGGATTACATGCTGATTATTCTTGTGGCGGGCTACAAACGAATCATCATGCGATGGCGTTACAGACATATTTATCTGATGGTGGGCCACATATACATTATGTTTGAATATCGGCGTTGTAGATTGATTCATTGTGCGGTGGCTAACGGATTCATTCCTTTTTTGTGGCAGGCTGCCAAAATTACTCAATCCTACCTACAGATCGATTACCTCTTGTGGCGGTATACAGATCGATTGCCTCTTGTAGCGGCCTCGAACATATATTCCTACTGTGGTGGCCCACAATTAGATTCCTCGGAATGGCGGCGTTACACATTGACCATATATATATATAGATGTACATGGCGACGGAGTGCGAGTCGACTCCTGTTGCGGCGAATTGCAACATGATTCCTTCTGTGGGGGCCAACAAATCGATGTCTGTTTCTGTGGCGGCATCAGGAGCCAATCTGCGGTGGCCCACTGAAGCATGATTTTAATGTTAATGGAAGCGTCACATACTGATTCCGTTTGCGGCGGATTGTACACGTTCATGTGGCGCCTTGCAAATAGATTTGTGACGGATTCCCAGAATGGCAACTTACACATGGGTTCCCTTCTGCGGCAGCTCACAATCTGATTTCTTTTGTGGCGGCCTCACGACTGGAATCCTTTTTGCGGTGGCCTTACGACTGGATTCATTGCGCGGCGTATTGTAACGCCGTTCTTTTGATGGCAGACTGTACATCGACGTCACCGGATGGCGGCCTCACGCATTTTTATTGTTGTGGCCTCATTCTTCTTGATGGTGGCCCACATATAGACCCCGTTGCACGGCGGCCGTCAGTATTAGATATTAAGGTTGCGGGTTTCAAACTGATGACGCAGTACACCAGCCCACAGTGAGAGTTGCACCATGGACGGCCTATTGCGTCCGTGTACAATGTATAGTGGTGCGACTTCGCGTTGAGCATTGCTTCACTGCAAAGTCACTGTTCTTTCTGCTTCGCGTTTCCTCTCCGATCGTTCACTCATCCTTTGCATTGTACCCATACTGTTCCGCCTCAGTTTCGTTATCCCTTCCCCCATCCCTTTTTCTCATCCGCCTGTACCTCCCCCTTCCCACCACATTCCCAACCTCTTGTATCCTGCCCGTTAACCTTCCGATTCTGAACTCCGAAATCTCCAGAACCTCTCACAACGCCTCCCTCATCCTACTCCTCCCTTCCTATTCCTTCCCCCATTCGCCTTTTGATTATCCTCCACGTGCGTGGACCACGGATCACAACTTGATTCCCAATGTGGCTGTCTGACAAGTTTATGTACTATGTGCCACATTACAAGAGGGTTTCTTTTATGTCGGATGACGCACTGATTTGTGCTGTGGTGATTCACACATTGAGACCTTCTGTTGCGGACTATACATTGGTTTCTGATGCGCCGAATTACCGATTGACTCCCTAAGTGGCGGATCATACGCTGATTCGCTTTGCGGCGGATCACAACTCGATTCTTTCAGTGGCCGATTACGAAATAACTTCTCTTGCGGCGCGTAAGAGGTAAAACTTCTTACGCGACGGAACACAATGTGATGTTTTCTTGTGGCGGATTGCAAACTGCTTCCCGATGGCGCATTAATTATTCAACCTGTTACGTGGCGGATCCCAAGTTGATTCCTGCCGAGGCTGGCTGCATTTTGATTATCTATGCGGCGGCCTTACGAACGAATTCCTTATGAAATGGATGACAAACTGGTTCTTTACGCTCGCAAGCTGTAAACACTTTCCTGTTGCGGTAGGCTTACACGTTGACTCGTTATGTGGCGGAGTGCAAAGACATTGCTTCTGTGCTTAATTACAGACATACTCTTCTGGCGGGTTATAGCTTGCACTCCATTTGTGGCGGAATACAAAGTGGTTCTTCTTGCGGATCCTTTTGCAAAGTAGAGCCAACGAATACCAGAACGCGTTCGAAATCGGCCCCGAACGGGAAGATCTAAAACAACAACTAAAGTCAAGAAGGATAGAAAGAAAAAACATAATCTCAGAATAGAACAAGATGTCACCCTCCGCCCCACCCCCCTCAGGCCGCTCCTGCCGCCAGGACTTCTTGTCCGCGCCCGCCCGCGACAGCACCGGGCTCTCCTCACAGAGCGCCCGCGCGCACGAAAAGCCCAGAGGGGGGGGTAAACATCGCATCAACTCCCTCTCCCACCCATGCACTCCCCCTCCTCATGTCATGCTCCTCCTTCTCAAGTCATCCTCCTTCTTCTCCTCCTCCCACCCGAGGCTGTCGAGGCCCCAGGGGTCATCACAGACCAGGTAAAGCGAAAGCACAGCAATATCCCCTGGAACGACAAGATCTGGCCAAGCGCCACAGAAACGGTGTTGCTGGGGAAGGGGTCGAGTGACGGGGAGAGCTCCCATCCCCAAATGCGGACGAGCGGCAAGCGGCAATGCCCGTCCCGCAGCTCAGCCACCCTTTGTCCGTGACTCTGCTAGGGTGGATCAGCACATTCCAACCTAGCTGGCGGAGCTGGTGGGTAGCCTCACGGTGGTCACTCCCGAGTGTGAAGTGAAGCCTGCCGAAAGGGCAGGCCAGGCGTTTCGCCTGAGGATTCCTCCCCATTTCTGGCCCTGAAGCTGATAAAACTTGACACAAGCTTCACGGACTGAGGGCGGGCGGTTTTCAAAATGTGGCTTTCGCCTTGGCGTCGCGCAGATTCGTGCTTAAACATGTCTAAAGTGTTTCACGGATTGACGGCGGGCGGTTTTCAAAATGTGGCTCTCGCCTCAGCGCCCAGCGCAATCGATAAACTTTGCAAGAGTTTCACGGATTGAGGGCGGGCGGTTTTCAAAAGGCGGCTCCCGCCTGAGAGCCCCGCACATTCGTCTTCACAATTTGCAAGAGCCTCACGGACTGAGGGCGGGCGGCTTTCAAAAGGTGTTGCTCGCCTTAGCGCCGCGCGCACTCGTCCTAAAAGTTTGCAAGAGCCTCACGGACTGAGGGCGGCTCCTTGTCCAAATGGGGCTCTCACCTCAGCGCCGCGCACGTTCGCTTGTTAATACACTCACGAGCTTCACGGGTTCCCATGGTCAACGAACCAGAACTGGCGCTCTGGAATGATTCCAGATTGTCAAGGCGCTACAACTACGTCGATTCGCGGTGCTGAAGTCCCAGAAATAACTGGCGTTCCGGCAGGATTTGGGATCGTCAAGACGCAACAGCAGGTAGATTCGTGGCGTTCGGGTTCCCTGGAATAGTGTTTGGGAACGTTTCAAGATCTTCAAACGGTTGTCTCTCAACGGGACATTTCCATCAGTGACAATGAATATTTGCAGGGGCATATGAAGACGGAGCTCGGAGAGAGGGTTATTTCCAACGTCGTTGATGAGCGTTTGGCTTACACTCGTCCTCCTCCTCCCTCTTTCATTATGTATGTATCTCTCTCTCTCTCTTTCTCTCCCTCTCTCTCTCTCTCTCGTTCTCTCATTATCTCTCTCCCTCTCTCTCTCCTTCTCTCTCTCTCTCTCTCTCTCTCAGTCGATATCAGTCCCTCTCGCTCTCTCTCTCTCTCTCTCACGATCTCTCCCCCTTTCTCTATTATAAATTATCTCTCTCGCGCTCTATTATGCTCCTCCTCCTCCTCCTCCCCCCCCTCCTCCCCATCCTCCTCCCCATCCTCTAACTCCTCCTCCTCTTCATCCTCCTCCTCCTCCTCCTCCCCCGATGTATCTACAGCACCGAAGGTCTGCTGGCGACTCAGCAAGCCCCGTAGCTCGCAGCCTGCCTCGAACAGAAAGGTCCACGTAACGGGCTGGACGCCCGTCTGGGGCGCGCACTCTTGCCAGCTCCCCTGGGGCTGGATAGTGTCAGCGGAGCGAAGCGAAGGCGAGGAGGGGAGGTAGGGGGTGGGGAAGGTGGAAAAGGAAGAGAGGAGGGAGGGAGGGAGGAGGGGGGAGGGGGAGGGAGGGGGGGGAGGGGGAGGGAGGGGAGGGGGAGGAAGAGAAGCGGGGGGGGGGGGAAGGGGGGGGGGAGAGGAAGAGACGGGGCAGGGAGAAGGGGAGCGGGCCTGGCACCCCTCGGCCCTTCCCAGCCGCCGGCGCACGCGGCGCTATAGCCTGGCCCCTGCGCCAGCTCTGCGGCGGATCGCCCAGAGCATCGCGGGAACAAGCGTCTCCGACAGTGCTCCGGGCACCCCGTTTCAAACTCTTCCTCCGCTGACACTCGGGCGCTGCAATGTTTTCACACCGGGCGCTTTCTCCCCGTTTCGGCCCCCGGGGCCCTGACAGCTCGATTCAGCTCGAGGAGTGCCGCAGAAAGATCGCGTCTCGGCCCCAGTCGCGATTCCTCACGATCTTGCAACTTCTTTGCAACGTCGGATTTCAGGGTCGTGGGCACCCCGTCTTTTCCTCCTCGTCCCCGTCCTCCTTGCCATGCCCGCCCGCAATGCTCCCTGGACCCTCCGGGGCTGCCCCGGGGGCCGCGCGGTGTCCTCCCGAGCTAACTGGGGGCTTAATTGGGGCCAGCTCGAGGCACCCTTTGGGCCCGCGTGTGGCCCTCGCCTGATTTCATGCGGTGCTGTGTTGAGGCCTTGGGGCAGGAGGAGGAGGAGGAGGACGACGACGAGGAGGAGGAGGAGTAGGAGAAGGAGAAGCTCCCTCGAGGGTCTTCTTCCAAAGTGGTTGGGCTATGCGTCGGCTGCCTTGGCACCCTCTCCAGCGCTCGTGAGGCAGTGTTGGACAGAAGACCCTGCGAGGCGCAAAGCTTCAGACTACAAGAAATGGTGATGGGGATGCTTGCGCACAGTGATACGAGGGTTCCTGTCTGTATGCACATGACTATGATTACGAAACAGAATGGGACATGTGATCACATGCATTTACGATTTGCAAGTCACTCACCGCAGTCAGAATGCACTCGTCTGCACGACCCTACGGCGGCACTGCATGTGTTGAGGCCGTAGCGGCGAGTACAACTCGCTAGCGGCTCCCAGGCATCGCAAGAACCGCTGCCCCGGGGACATGTGTTCTGCATGTCAAGTGGTAATGCTGCTTTGCACAGGACAGAATTCGCGCACTCCCTTCTCACCAAGTTGCAGACGTAGGGGCTTGCAAAGCGGTCCCAGAAGTGTCTTGTCATAACAGCGTCTTCTGCATGTTCCTCTCCTGATGTCCAATTGAACGTTGGTAGTTGAAGGAGTCTGCACATATGTTCGGGGTCACCGCCCGTTTTGCGGGGTAGTCTTCCTGCTCGAACGTATTTGTCGCAGAGTTCCTTCAGTGGACGATCCTTGTGCAACTCGTCAAAGAATTTGATCACCGTATTGACTGTGGGCTCCAGATGTATCACGGAATGCGCAGTAGTATGCGGTGAATAGAACGAATCACCAGCCTCAACGATGGCCTCGTACACGGTGACAGTGCGGTTCGAGGAGACAGAACTATTGTTCTGTATACTCCAGATGTCAAATCCTAGCTGGCCGCTTGCTTCGCGCCCTTTGCCAGAGAACATCCTAAACAATTCCTCCGAACTGGACCACTCTGAAAAGGGAATGATCCTCATGAGTTTCCGACCGCGGTGGACGTCCGTCCAGTAAGGCCATTTTGAAGTGGAGTCGATGTGCACGCGCAGAGAAGCACCCTTCGGATAAATATAGATGCTCGGCCATCGACCCCGGGAGAGCATTTCTTGATCAACATACTGAAGATATTTCGGCCATGGAAAATCTCGAAGCAAGGCTGGACAGTTGCACTTCATATCCATGGACATGATCATCCAGCGCTGCTCCTCGTACTTCTCAAAAAAATCGCGCATGATGTCTGAGGAAGCAGAGGCCTCATTGATCCGTTGGGCGATACGCCGACCGGAATCCTCCCACAGAGTAATGTTGTCGTCAGCCTTGAAAAAATGAGTCGGCAACAACATGTTGCAATGCTCGGTGATGTATGTGGAGTTCCAGTGCTTGATGCTTTTCCAAGCAGACTCCAATGTCTGTGTGTTGCGTGTGACAACCACGGGGCGGTCGCGTAACACCTACTCTTCCTGGAAACGGGCAGCGGTCATGCGCGATTCTTCCTCCCGCTTAATGGGAACAATCCGAAAGTTTGGAAGGCTCCTCGACTCAGTCCTGCCAACACAAGACATGCACGATACGTCTACAGAAAGCACGACAAGCAAAGCCCGATTGCTCGTTTGTCCACTCCGAGCATGCAACACCATGGCCCTGTTCTGAACGGAAATCCCCTGGAGACGGAATGATGTTGGCAAAAAACTGAAGCCAGTGCTTGAACCAAAATGGCTGACATGAAATACATCAAGGGTATCGTTTCCGTGCCGATTTGATTGCCTTTCGAGATAGTGTGACATTGTGTTCAATGCCTTCCTGACCTCGCAGCGCATGCTGCCCAGGGCATCGGACCCAGGAGCGGTAACACACCTGCTAACAAGCAACACACAATTGGCTAAAGAAATCTCGTTTTCGACCGTGTGAGCAAACTGAAACGTGGTCTGAGAAACTGCGCCAATGCCTCTGCGATCGGACAAAAAAACGAACTGACTAAGTGAGGCTCCAGACCAGAAGAATTCTGACCAAACCCTGGGCCTCCAGAGCATGCGCACAGAGCTGGAATCCTGTCCCGATCATGAGCTTCCCTGATAAGAGCGCGGCGGTGTGCCAGCCTTGACCTCCTCCCCATCCTCCTTCACCTCATCACGCTGCAAGCGAGAGCTCTTGACTCTCAGCCCTGTTTTTGTTGGGCACCCGTTCTAATCAGAGCATTTGTTGTTGTTTCCTCCCTCCCCTCTCATTCCTTCTTTCGCCTTTCCTCTTGTTTTCTCTCTCTCTCTCTCTTTCCCTCCCGCTCTCCCCCACTCACTCATGATCTCTTCCTCTCTTTCACTCTCTTGTTTTCTCTCTCTCTCCCTCTCTCTTTCTCTCTCTCTCTCTCCCTCTCCACACTGTCCGTTTCCTCCCTTCCTCCTCCCCCCTTCTTCCTCGTGCCCTCTGTTCATCCCAACCCTCGCGCGTCGGGCACGCTGCTCCCACCCTCTCCTGTCATCTCCCGCCCTTCCCCACCACCCCTTCCCACCTGCCTCCTGCGTCCTGCCTGCCTCCCAAGTCGCCTCACCAGGCATTGACAACCGGCGCCGCTTGTGCGAAGATAAGGCGGAAGTGCTGGAGGAGGAGAAGAAGGAGGAGAAGAAGGAGGAGGAGGAGGGGAAGGAAGAGGAGGAGGAGGGGGAGCAGGAGGGGGAGGAGAAGGAGGAGGAGGAGGAGGAGGACGAGGCCACCCTTTTCCTGAGCTCCTGAGGGGTCCAACGGACTGCGGGTCTACGCAGGCCCAAACGAATCCTCACTTTTTTGGGGAAGTGGTCAATAGCGCAATTGCCAGCAATTTGGAGAACTCCTGGGGGTTCTGGAAAACGCCAATCCAAAGAGAACCTCGCCACTCCTGGGCGCTGCCAACTTCGCAACTCTCACCACTCTGTTGAACTCTCTGGGGTCCAGCGGGGCGTGGGACTGCGCAGACCCAAACTGAACCCCGACCTCTTCGGGCACTGGCACTCTGCAAGTGTCGCCACTTTGCCACACTTCTGACTTGGCGACACAGTGCGGGGCTACGCAGACCCCAAAGCGGGACCTGTCCCTCTCCAGGCGCTACCAACTGCGCAACAGCCGCGGCTTCTGCGATCTTTGCTTCGTGGCTACGAGCTCATCGCCGACGCCGGCTACAAGGGCTGCGGTGGCAAGTACGGTCTCTGGCTGCATGCACGCGGCGGTTGTCAAGGCCACGGCGTCGAAGAACCTGTTTGTGATCCACGTCACGGGCCTGGAGTTTCTCTCTCACTCTCTCTCTCTCTCGAGGGCCACCCGAAAACCAGGAGGCGCGCCTGCCGACATCCCGTGCCCGCACGGAAAAATGGCAAACAAAAGGCGGAGAATTTGGACGCTCGAGATGTGCACGGAAAAACGGGCACAATGCCCAACAACAAGTCATGTCTCAAACCGACCGCCGTTGGGCAGACGGCCTTCTGTCTCAACTGGACACAGGCCACGGCGGCGCGGCCAGCGAGTCCTGTTCAAAAGGAACAGGCGCTGCTGTTGGGTATTGTACCCATTGCTTCAACACAGTGGAGGCCAGTCCACAAGAAACCTGCCACAAGAAACCCAACCCCGAGACCCCAGGACGCCCATGGATGTTTGGCGTGGGAACGTCACGCCTTCCGCAGCAAAACCACCGAAACACAAGAAAACCCAGGGCACCCTGGAGGCAAGCAAGGTGTTTCTTGGCATGGATCTCCACTGTACCGCTGGACATCCCGTTGGACTTGGACGTCCTACCTCTACGCGTCTCTTGTAGCCCCGCGAGAGGGAGGCTAACAACATCCTCACCACCATCACCATCACCATAACCAGAACCATCATCATCAGCAGCATCATCATCGTCATCATCGTCACCATCACCATCACCATCACCAGCATCATCACCATCACAATCAGCGTCCTCATCATCATCACCACCAACACCACCATCATCATCAGCAGCAGCATCATCATCCCCTCACCATCTCATCACGTGCATCCTCATCCCTCTTCCCTCCCCCCTCCGATTTCGACGACGGCGACGGGCGACGGAGACAGCGGCAACGACGGCGACGGCGACGGCGAGCGGCATCGACGACGACAACGACGACGAGCGCCCGGGGGGCGCTCCTCTCTTCGGGCGCTTTCGCCGCCGCCGCGGCCCCCCTGCCCCTTCCTCTGGTCCGCCGAGGCCTCCCGCCGAGCGGGGCGGGCTCGGCGACGACCACCACCGCCGCCACGACCACCACGACCACGACCACGACCACGACGACGGTCAGGAACTTTTGCTTCGCGTGTCGCGGCGGCGGCCCCGGCGACACGCTATGCCCTGCGTGCCGGTAGCGCGTCGCCCCGCTCCGCTGGGCCGGAGGCTGGGGAAGGCTCGGGACTCTGGCGCCTGGGAACCGAGACGTGGATAGCGTGTCACGCAGAAGCGTGGTGGGCCAGAGCCGGCGCGACACGCCAAGCAGAAGTTCCCGACCGCAGCCACCCCTCGCAGCCCTCTCGTAAACACACCTGGGGGAGGAATCGGGCAGGGCAGGCCTGTTCAGCAAACGCTCAGGGTTGTTTGGAAAACGCCAGCTGTGTGGTCGGGCTGATCCTCACTGGCGGTGGCAGCGAGGACAACGACGACGAAAGAAGACGAGGCACGTGATTCTCTCTTGGGGGGCCTGTGGGACAGTTGGGTCTCGTTTCCACAGCCGCATCCGTCCAGAGATCGCGTCTGGGACGCCTTCCTCCTCCTCCTCCTCCTCCTCCTCCTCCTCCGCGTCCTCCTCCTGCCTGCTCCTCCCTGCAGCGGGACGAGCCCGACTCGAGTGTAGCCTAGGGGGCGGGAGCGACGGCGGCAGGAGGCCGCCTCTGGCGCCGGAGCGCTATCCTCGCGCCTGCGGTCCTTCTCCCGGCGGTCCTGCTGTCGAGCAAGGGATCGACTGCAGGATCGATTCACAGCAGGGGCTCGACCACGAGAAGCCGTCCACAAGACGCCCAACCCTGAGGCCCCAGGGCGCCCTTGTGGTTTTTGGGCGTGGGAGCACGTCACGCTTGCCATGGCGAGACCATCCGAACCCAAGAGAAACCCAGGGCCATCCTGGAGGCAAGCAGGGTTTTCCTTGGCATGGGTCTCCACTGTACCCCAAAATGGACTTGATCGTCGAATCCCCAAAATAATGCGTGGAAGGTTTGCAGGTCTACGGAACCTTCGTACGCATCTGTCGTAGAGTCGACGAACAAATCAGTGCTGGGGTAACTCCATTATGTAGTCGATCCCCTATTCGACTTTTGGGAGGTGGCCAACGATGCCCCACACCGCTCTTGGCCACGCTCGGCTACACGTAAGCGTGACCCTGGGCAAGAGCGACCTCTGGTGCGCGACCTGACGGGGGACGCAGGGTGGCCAAACCCAGGCGCGCAAGCCGCTGCTACCGCTTCGCGTTCAGCGATCGGGGAGCCCATTGCGCCTGCACCCAAGGTCACTCTGGTGGACGGCTTCCCCCGGGGCCTTAGGCGACCCGAGGAGGGGAGGGCGAGAAGGGGGAGGAGGAGGAGGAGGAGGAGGAGGAGGAGGAGGAGGAGGAGGAGGAGAAAGAGGGGGGAGGAGGAGGAGGAGAGGAGGAGGAGGAGGAGGAGGAGGAGGAGGAGGAGGAGGAGAAGAAGGAGGAGAGGAGGGGGGAGGAGTAGGAGGAGGAGGAGGAGGAGGAGGAGGAGGAGGAGGAGGAGGAGGAGGACGGGTCGCGTAAGCCCTTCGGAGAAACCCTACACACTCCAGCGAAAAGTCACTCTTACGTGTCGTCGCCACGCTCAGCCCGAGCGCCCAGCATCGGTGCTCAGGTCCCCCTGGCATTCGGCGGGAATGCACCATGCACCGACTCCCGGGCTCAGGCTCGGCCTGAGGCCAGGGCCGGTGCAGGTGCATCCGTGGGGCCCTGCGAGACAGGCCTCGGAGGAAGTTAGCGAACACTCATGCCGCATGCATCTGTCAATGCCCCAGAAACGCTGCAGCCTTCCCCGCGCGTGCCATGCCAACTTTGAGCTTGGGGGAGCGGGGGAGTGTCCACTAAGGTGTTTCTCCCTCTACCGTCCTTCTCCTTCTTGCCGTCCCTCTTGGGGTCTTTCCCGTCCCAGCCCCTGTCGGCCACAGCTTCGCGACGTCGCTTGCCGTCGCGGCGC